ACTTTTTGCATTATCGAGGGATCCAGTTTTGTGGATGGACGGACTGACAGACGGACGGACAGACAGACGGAGGGTAAACCTAAAGTCCCCTCCGGTAAACCGGTAGGGGACTAAAAAGTAATGACATGCATAAAACTAAATCCCTCCTTTAACTAGAGCTATCACTAAGGGTGATTAATAACCCCACCAGCAACTTTGACTTTTTGAAAAATAAGTGGTCTGAAGAAAAGTTTGAATAATTAAAATGTCAACTGTGTATAAAGAATTATTTCAGTTAATTGCAATCCCAACCACAGTTAATTGCAATCCCAACCAGGATCTTCATATAAACTTGCATTATCCTTAATTTGAGTGTAATATGTCATTTCTAACTCTAGTTATTGTCTGAAAACCATTTTAATAATAAATTCACTCTTGACCCTAGGGGCTCCAAATGCCTTTCCCACCAGGGTTTCCATACAAGGTTCCTAAATACCAAATTTGTTTATAATATCTCATTCTTAACTCTTGTTATTGTCGGGAAACCATTTTTCTATTTTTAGAAACAGTTACCTTGATCTTGAACCATGGGGGTCCAAATGCAATACCAACCAGGGTCTTCATATAAGTTTGGTATCAACAAAGTTTGATTCCTAACTCTAGTAATTGTCCAAAAAAATGTTTTTCTAATTTTAGATATGCTGACCTCGTCACTAATTGGTCCTAATACTAACCAGGGTTTCCACATCAGGTTGCTATATACCAAGTTTTATTACAATATCTCATTCCTAACTCTAATTATTGTCCAGAAACAATTTTTCTATTTTTAGTTATGGAGACCTTGACCTTGACCCCAGGGGGTTCAAGTGCAATACAAAAGTGGGGTCTTAAGCTTACTATAATCCAAGTTTGATTACAATGTCTCCTTCCCCTAAATAAGGTATCAACTATCAATAATACCCTTAAACTGTGGTTTAAAATATCTAAACATCTTTTCCTGTCCAAGGTATTTCAATATAAAAAAAAGGATAAAATCAAGGACATTTAAGAGTCTGGCATTGACAATTTAATTATTAATTACTGCTTGAATTTCAACATTACTGGTTTGTTCAATTAACGAAACAAAATGTACATAAAGCACTTAAAGTGTTAGTTTATAGTATTGAAAAGATTTTTTAACAAGTCATTGATTCATATACATTTTACCAGTGACAAAAATGAATAAATTGATTTAAGCTGTATGCATATTTGTAATAATAAATATATTTCACATACTGATTTAGCCAACAGTTTTTCTAGTGACAATATTACCGGATATAGGATTTCTACATAATTATTTATATACTAGAATACTAGTATTCAAACAGGATTTGAATCACCTAAGTAAATGAATACATATGCAGCTATTTAAGTGTTTTTTTTTTGTTTTTTTTTGTTTTTTTTTTTAATGAATATCAAAACAGATATCAAAATGATAAAAAGTAAATATCGACCAGCAATTGAAGTGATCAAGTTAATGAATATCCAAATAACTTTTTTGAGTGTTTTAAGTAAATGAATATCAAAATATCTATTTAAATGTTTTAAGTAATTAAATATCCAAAAAGCTATTAATGGATTTAATGAATACCAAAATAGCTATCTAAGTGTTTAAGTCAATAATATTCAAAATGCTTATTAAGTGTTTAAAGTAAATGCATATCCAAATAGCTATTAAAGTGTTTAAATCAATGACTTTTCAAAAAGCTTATTTATTTAAGTGTTTTAAGTTAATGAATGTGATCTATTAAAGCATTTAAGTACATATGAATATCCAGAAATATCTAAATACATGAATATCCAAACAGCTAATCACCTTAGATATATAGGCTGGAGTTCATTCAGCAATCAAGGTCATGGGGTCAAAGGAAAATCATCACTTATTGAGTCTAAATGGTTATCCCCAAGATCAAAGTCATGCTGTCATACCGACCGAAAAATAAAAACAAAACAGATAAAACATGAACTTCCAATCTGACAAAATAAACTTTCTGATCATCCTTTTTATCTATTGCTTTTATAATACTTGCCAGAAATTTGACTGAACTTCTCTGAAATGCATGTTTTAATTGCCGAAAAATCTTTCCTTTTTTTTCTTAAATGCATTATAAACAAATAATATCTAAAAACTAGATATTGTTCATATATTTAGTTGAAAAACAAACTGAAATCAACTTGAAAGTCAATATAAAATTCTATAAAATGTTCATGTCTTGAAACTAAAGTAATCATATTTGTATTAACCAACAAAATTTACTGGTTTTTATTCCAATCTTCACATGCATTCATCAATTAAGTATCAATTAACAAACACATGATGAAATAAAGGGAATGTTGACAAGTTTATTTTGCCAGACTGTTATGTTAGATTAATAAGGTTGTCTAGCAACTGTCCACATTCAAAATTACTTAAACATGTTCACAAAACTTTATATGACATTTTCTAAAATTATTTGCAAAGAGTTAAAAGATTGAAAAAAATCAACCTTTAACCTGTTGAATTTCTTAAATTGATTTTAGCTTCCAACTATTGACTGTCAAAAAAAATAATTTGATATTGGACAGTCAAAAGTATAAATTTGACATTGGACTGTCAAAAGTAAAAAATTGATATTGGACTGTCAAAAATAAAAATTTGATATTGGAGTGTCAAAAATAAAAATTTGATATTGGACTGTCAAAAGTAAAAATTTGATATTAGACTGTCAAAAGTATAAATTTGATATTGGACTGTAAAAAGTATAAGTTTGAAATTTTGACTGTCAAAAGTATAAATTTGATATTGGACCGTCAAAATTATAAAGGCTGATCAAACTGCACCGATGTGTACAGACTTGTCATTTGGCAAAGGCTAATCGTTTTCCATCCTTCCAGGTAAAGGGTTAAAACCTCTGGTAACAGTTACTAGACCTCCCTATAAGGAATTTAAATGCAACATAAAAATGATGAATATAAAATATCCACAGGTGGCCATGATTCGTCAAGCCTATAAGCATTTTACAATGCTAGTTTGATTTACACTTAATTTTTAATGATCCAAGCATTCTATGTTGAAGAAATTTTCTTTGTGTTTGAAAATATCCAAGTATTACAAATATTTGTTGAGACTTTCTGACAAAAAAAGGTAAGGGTGTTGACTCTAGGACAGGGACGAATTTAGGGCACCCAAGGATATATCACTTTATTTGCTGTAACCACTTGTCATTGATACCCAATAACATGATATTTCAATGACTTAATGTTTTGTTTTTTGTTGTTTATTCCTTTATATTTATTTTATTTTATTTCCAAGAAGATATGTGGCGTAAATTACCAATTCATTTAAACAGATTTATATATACAGTATATTAAAACATTTAGAGTCCATTCAGTTTTAAAAATATTTTTTAAATAAAATGTCATTATTAACAACAAACTGATTTCATCTCTTATGCATGGCTAACAACTGAGGAAATGGAAGCAAACTAAGTAAGCACAACTTATTTTCCTTGATTTTAGATGTTCTATAATGACCAGGTATGACACCTGGTTACCAGTATCTACCATTATTTCAACACTAAACAAGTTTCCAATCTGGTTCCATTCTGTGAGGAAACACAGAAAAACCAAATGACCCAAATTTGTGTGGTCATTTAAAATATGAACCCTTATTTCAGAGTCTGCCACTGACCTTTCTGAACTATCATTAAGGTCTGTCAATTTCATGACTAAAATTGAAGGCTGAAAGATTTAAAATCAGTAACTTTGGTAATAAGGTCAGTCATAGCGTTATAGATTAATTTAGTTTGTTAATTAGATAACTTTTCTCTACAACTGATACAGTTCAATCAGTCTGTGATCTAGGGCATGCATGCAAGGTCATATATGAGTTATATAATGATTATAATATCCAAGTAAGTAAAAAGAAGATTAAAAAACACCCATGCAAAAATAACTCCGAAACAATTCAAATTGCATGTTTTAAATGACATTAAAGTATCTAATACCTACACAAAAATATGCTCAGTTTATATATTCTACATTTTAATCATATAAATAAGGCAAATAATTTGAAAACTTAATATAACTAACATTACAATTGACAATGTCAAAATAAAACAACACAAAATGAAATATCTGAATGTTTAACATCCTTCGTCACATCCTTGCCAGAATCTAAGTAACAAAAACTTCTTTAAATCTAAATTTTTAAACAAACTAGGTAATTAAAGTAGCATGCCTCCAGATTCATGCTAATTTTAATAGAAATTTTGAAAATATATTATTAAATAGAGGATATCTGATCAGTTCAGTGTAAAATCGGAATATATTTCACCGGGTGAGCACCAAAAGGTATATTTCACGAGTGGCGCATCTTTCGATCTTACATTAAATTAAACAAATTTTGTTTTTATTATATGCAAAGAAACGTTTAAAAAGACATTTTAACCTAGTACTAAATGAAAAGGGCGCCAAATAACAATACAACAATTTATGATGTCACGTCATTAAGTTGGTTTCAAGTACTGTGAACGCTTGTATTTCACTGAAACAACGTAACGGGCTCAAATATTCAAAACAGTGAAATTATGAAATTGATAATTTCACTGCTTAAAACAGTGAAATTATCAGTTTTTATTTCACTGATATATTTCTTTAAAGCACTGAAGAGCATGTAATAAAGTAAAATAATGTGAAGTGAACAAACGTCTTACTAAGCATTATTTTCACAACAGGATAATTATAACTTCTATCTTGAATCATTTTTACTTTTCTTAATTTTTATCACTTTTCTTAACATCATAGTAAACTTTTCTCAAGTTTGATTTTCTTGAAATATTTTTCCTCATCTGGAGACATGCAGCTTTAAGTAAAACATTCTCATCTGAAATAATCATCAAAATGTTTGCATGATTCTGCAATGGATATGATAAAGGATATATTTTTTGTCTAATCTTTTTTATATTTTCTTGTTTGCAGATAAAATAATCAGGATGGCTTACCTCCGTGTGTTCTTTATCTTGGGTGGAGTTCATTGAAGGACTGGCACTAATCTGACTGTCTTCTCCTATAGACAACTCTCTATGATCTATTATCATATCTGTGTCTGAATCCTGATCATGATTTAAATCACTCTAAAAATAGTAACAGTTCATCAGAAGCATTCTAAAAATAGCAACAGTTCAAAAGCTTCTAAAATTAGCACAGTTCTCAAAAGTAGTAACAGTTTATCAAAATCATTCTAAAAATAGTAACAGTTCTTCAAAAGCACTCTAAAAATAGTAACAGTTTATTCTAAATATAGTAACAGTTCTTGAAAAGCATTCTAAAAATAGTAACAGTTCTTCAAAAGCACTCTAAAATATTAACATTCTTCAAAAACACTCTTAAAATAGAACTGATCTTTTCAAATTGTTCTTAAAGTAGAACATAGCTTCTAAATCTTATATATTTCCCATTCTTCCAAAAATATACATGTAAATGCCTTGCAAGCTCTTTTTCTTTGGATTGGTTTTTATATTGCATGAATACAGTATAGGTCACAAGGCCACATTCCAGCTTTACTCCACAGGTGCCGCTATGTACGTTATTTCAACCATCGACATTCTGTTGGCAAGCTGGAAAGCTTGTACGTTCTTGTTAGGACACTTACTGTATAAAGTGCCTAATGAAGAACATCCTTTCTAGAGCATTCATTTTCTTTGAGACGGGGTTTAGGTTATAAACTAATAGGGAGCCAACTTTTTCAATTTACATCTGATACCATAAATACAAAGGTCCATGTTTAAAAGATGTTTGATTATTTATAGGTAATTAAACAAAACTTGAATAATTATGTTCTATCAACATTATTAGTCAACCTCCCAAAAATCATTTTATTTGTTTTTTTCTGCACAAAAATAAAAACAAATAATAATTGAGCCACGTCACGACAAAACCAACATAATGGGTTTGCGACCAGCATGGATCCAGACTAGCCTGCGCATCCGTGCAGTCTGATCAGGATCCATGCTGTTCGTTTACAAACCCTATTACAAGTAGAGAAACTGACAGTGAACAGCATGGACCCTGATCAGAATGCGCAGGCTGGTCTGGATCCATGCTGGTCGCAAACCAATTATGTTGGTTTTGTCGTGACGCGGCTCAATTGTTTATGACACTTACTTCCATCAGCTGTTCTTGAGTTGTTAACATTCTTGCTAATGGTAGACAACAATTTGGACATGTCTCCATTAAATTTGGTCTACTATTTGTAAGGAATGGTTTTAAAAACCTGAAATGAAATCATTAAGTTGATATTATAACATTTTTCTTTTGCACTAAAACATTTTTGACATATTTGGCATATAACAGGATCATTATGCATTGTCTGCATAAATATTTTTTTGTGATAAAGTGAAAATGTGGTCAAAAAGTTTTCCTTCAAGACTGCTTGGTCAAGCTGCATAGTTTTGTACTCAATATTCTTTGAAACCAAAAACATGATTATATCATAATAATTTTCTGTACATTTCCTTGTTTTGGTTTTATATTAAATCATACATATACAGATTATAATGACACTTTCAAGGTTTACTGAGGGCTTGTTTGTTTGTTTTTTATTGGGGGGAAGGGGTCAGGGGGTATACCAATTTTAACACATTTTCAGTCATATCTCAGTGGTCTGTTAACCTAACATGCTTTCCTGGATACATGTAACTTAAACCAATTATTATCAATTTCTTTGCAAGTGACAGACTACTAATCCCACATGATTTCTGAATCAGTGGTAAAAACCAAATGTCTAAACTGATGGAGGAAGACCTCAGATGCACCTAATAGCTTGTCAATATGTGAGAAATGAAAGTTAGCATTGGTATTTTTGAGTACATAGTCAGAGGGCATTGTGAGGTCACCTCTTTTCAATAAGACTGCAATATTGCTACAACTAAAGAAACATATATTGACACTTCTTATGGATACTCAATTTCAGTCAATTTCTGAATTCTTTTTCTTAAAATAATTGTTTAACATTACACTGGATCAAACCACATTCATTCACTAGCAAAACAGGTTTTTATACTGACAGTGAGTCTTCTATGTAAATATTTTGGAAATGTTGAGGTAACCAGTTCTGAAGTCAAAGACTACTTGGAACTTCCATGAAGGAAGAGCCCTTCTTCCTTATCCAACTGCACATATTTCTTACCCAGTTGTTAAATTGAATTCCTTTTTGCTTAATATAATGATAATAATTCATATGACAAAATCAGCTATTTTACTAAAATGCGTCACAGTTTAACATTACCAACTTGAATATTGTACTTACTTTCTATCAAATTTGTACCATTTAGCAACAAGGAATGCTTTCCCAAAAGATCTATGTTGAATATCTTGCTCTGCCTGGCTTTGAAGCTGAAAAATATTTAATTGAAATGAACTTCTAACATATCATGTGAAGTAGTTGACATATTAGATGACACTTTATGACATCATAAAATATACCAGTATAATGGAAAATTATCACAGCAAAGAAACACCCAAACAACACAATTCATTGATCAAACTCAAAACAGGTATTTGCCTCCCAAATGCTTCATACTTTCAAAAATTTAATACTTTTTCTGAAGATGTTTTCTGGAGGTTTTCTACATGAAATTTAGAATTCTTTGATATCAGCTCTAGCCAAAATTTTGTTATCATTCTGAACAGCAATGAATATAATATTTTTGTTACTGAACTTATCCTAGTGTAAACAATACTGCAACTGCTAAAACGCATTTTTCAACACAAATATTTACAATAAATTAATATATAATTGTAATCAAATATTGCATTTAAACATGGAGCAAACAAAGGGAGGAAACTGAGTATTGTCTAATGGGTAACAAGACAATCTGGATAAAAAGGGAGGTAATTGAACAATCTTAAACTGTAAGTTATTGTAATTGTGGCTGCAGGCAAACAAGTTCAATGAAAAATAGAACAAATATTAACAAACTTTAACCAGGGAAATAAGGGGAATAAATCTGTCTATGATGAAATGAAATAAAATAAAATCACATATTTAAGATGCTTCGAAATCTATATACATGTAAACTCACTATAAAGAACAAAAATTATTAAACATATAATTGCATTGAATATAGTTGACATTTCATGACTTGCTAAAATAACTTAAAAGAAGACATCTATCATTATATAAGCTATAAGCTGATAACAAAATCTGAAAATGTTATGTTGGCTATTAACATAACATTTTGAGGACAGGTTTTGAAAATTCAAGATGACATAAGTGAGCCGATATCATTCCTCTCCTTTCTTATTTAAGTAATCTCAACCACCAATTAACATAATCAATTAATATTAAAACACAAAATAATAGAAATACAAACTATATAAACAATATGCGGCAAACGAAATCTCACTGAACTTATTCTATCATAAATCTTCAGCCATAAAACAAAAACATACAAATACGAAAAAGAAGTTTTTTAAACCAAATATAAATCTAGATCACATGCAGCTGTAACTTGGCAATTCAACTGTATTTCCACAACAAGATAATAATACAAAAACCACCAAAAGAGCCTAACAAATAACACCTTGAAAATGTAACCTATAGCAACTTGTCTCGAGATACTATACCTGATTAATCAAAGGTTCTAACTGTTGTCCTGGGGCTATTTGAAGCTCATACTGAAATATGTTAGTCATTTTAGTTAAAAGTCCAAACAAAATAAGAAAAAGAAGATTAAAGTTTATAAAAATCAAAAAAAATAATCCACTCCAAATTGTTTAAAAAAATCTGAATCTATAAATAGATTTCTTTTATGCTCTCACTTAAATGATTTATTTACCTTCATAAATAATGAAATCTCAAATAATCTCAATTAATTTATTTATTTTTTTTTTTTTTTTGGGGGGGGGGGGGGGGGTTGAGTTTTATGTCACACCAAAACAATATAGGTCATATGGCGACTTTCGACTTTCCAATCTCACTTAAAAGGGAGCATGTTGTTGTATTTTTTGTGTCTATGACAAACACCCGTTGACCAATGGCCGCTCAGTTGTTTCATTGAAAAATGACAAAATGCCACTCAATGAACTTTGCGACACAACCAATTATTCCGTTGATTATAGGCATATAAAAGCTCTATAATCATGACAATACAACCACATATAACTGGGGGTGTGTTTGTTCACTTTTCGTAATTTTTTCAAGACCAGTTTTAAATTGTTTTTCTTTTGCTAGCTTATATAAACAAATCTTTATCCAACCTAAATTTAATATGGCTGTGTTAAAGTAATTGTACTTTTTAAATTAAGTTATCTTTGAAGTTTTTGCCTAAATCTGATTCTAAGTGACTAGTCATTCAATTAAATTATTTCAAACTTCCTGTTCTAAAAATAGAACATTTTGTTTCCGCAGACTGAATACCAAAATAAATATTTTGACAAATACCCAAAGCTTGATCCAGTGTTATTTATGTTAATAATTATAATAATGCCTTAATTTGAACACCAAACAAAATCAGCAGGACTTAAAATTTCCTTAACAAACAAACCTTAAACACAAGCAAAAGAACAAGACAACATCACCATATAAAGAAATAGTTGTAACAGAAACAAAATCTTGTGAATATAAGTTAATCTTAAAGTCAACACCCCTAAAAATATACATTAGAAATCAGCTAACATGTTTGAAGCAAGAACAATAAGAACCAAATCAAACAAATGTCAACATGAAATTGAGTAAGAATCATGCATCAAAATAACCAAAACGAAGAAACAAAGTAAACAAAAGCCAACATAACAAAAT